TATATATATATATTGATAAGCAGAGAATCACTATGCCACACTGCTAATAGTTTTCTTTTCCAAAATTGCATTCTTTTAAAGAGGCTTTTTTTCATCATCATCAGGAAAGTTGCATTACATTTTTTATTTAACCAGGATTGTCTCACTGAGTTTAACCATCTCTGGGCTCTGTTAGCCCTGGTCCAGATTATCTACTCTCGACCCCCCTAAATAAAGCTGGATATAAGGCTAATAAGACTTGGCAGCACCTGAGAAGGTAAAATAAACATGTTAGAAAACGTCTCAGGTTACGTATGTAACCATGGTTCCCTGAGAATAGGGAACGAGACGCTGTGTCCTCTAGAGGGCGCTAAGGGGACACGCTGACGGCGTTCCCCTAGCGCCCTCTGGAGGACGCAGAGTGGAGTTCCCTTTCGAAAGGGAACGTCTCAGGTTACGCATGTAACCATGGTTCCCTGAGAATAGGTAAGGAGACGCTGCGTCCTCTAGAGGGCGCTAGGGGAACGCCATCAGCGTGTCCCCTTAGCGCCCTCTAGAGGATGCAGCGTGGAGTTCCCTTTCGAAAGGGAACCCTGCTTACTACAGGGCACTGATTTATTGCATGAACAGAACAAGAACATAACATACAGTAAGTGTTTAAACTGCAAGTGCACAGTTCAGCTAAATGATAAAGTTTACCATTTTTAACATAATGCTATTAAACTAAATGCATGAAACAAACCGTTTGCTGAAATATCCACACAATGAACAACAGCAAAATAGCAGTGTGTGGTTCATTTGTTAATCAGATGCATGTGAAAGTTGTGTTTGTCACTGAACCAACTCATTTTTAAAATTATATATGAAATACAGATCTGAAATTCTATTAATATGTAATTATTGTCTTAGGAGCATACTGACATAAACTCCCTTTGTGAGTTTTTTTACTATTATCTGTAGTTCCAGTAAAACATATATCAAGGAGGGTTATGTCCTCACCAATGTCCTAAAATCAAACCCACACCCTTGCCACCCCTCCACCATAATTTATGAATTTAATACAGAAATTACATACTTATTATACAAGAAATGAACTGATGTATTTATGTAATAAAATAAATTGCCCATGAAAACAAGTGTTATGCCAATGGCCCCTAAATCAGTTTGCTCTCTATTTATATAAAAAGACAGGGTCAGCTGTTTGTGTAAGTGGCTTGATGGGTTTTAACCAAGTGAGCCATTTTCTGGATTATATGGATCACCTGTATCAACATCCTTTGTTTGGCTTGAAACAATGTTTCTTCCAAACAATCATAACCTTAACCCTTGCTCTAACCTCTAACCTTAACCTATTTACAAAGCTGTCATCATGGGAGACTTCTGGGAATGTTGCCCAGGCCCTGTTATGAAGGGGTCACTAAGGACCTATAGGGGAGCCCACAGATTCATCACTGGGTGCCCACCAACAAAAAACAAACGCCACGGGATTTGTGAATTTAATCAAATTCCTTTATATCCCTAAAATATAAGGTAAATTATAAGTAGGAAATAATGTTGTTCAGTGTCAATAAGAAATATTATTAGCATTGTTTGATCAAATATTTCTAGATTTGTATACTTCTACATGAGAACATGAAAATACAAACATGCTTATTAACTCACCAGGCCATTGCAAGTGCTCAGAGCTGCTTGACCCCACTTCAATGTACTGCTCCAGACATCTCCCAGGAAGTAGCAGAGAGAGTGGCCATGGCTATTTAATGTAGACCCTTGCAGACCACCGTATCTCAACTCTGTGAGGAATCCAGGCGCTAGTAGATGAGGGTTTAGGGTGAGGTTAAAGTGCAGGTCTTGACCACCATACTGCAGATGGTAAAAAACCTTGGCCAGGCTCTCTTTGTTTTTTGATGTCTCTCTCCTTTGAATTCGACTCACACGGTGGGACACATGATTGGACAAAAAATGTCCCGATGAATCTACTCTGATAGGATGAACAACTTCGTAGTTAGGAAATCCATTAGGAGAACTATCTGCAAAAACACCATGGAAATAACTCTTAGGATAAAAAGCCGCCACACACATTAAGTGGATTCATTAAATAGTAGGCTATGGTGCTATAACACAAAACAGAGGGGGAAAAAAACAGATGTTGCATCTGCAGTTCTTACTTAACATCGAATGTCAAGTTCACACTTTAGGCCTAGTAACTACTACTTAGCTTGTAACTACTTTAGCTGTCAATTTGGTTACCTCAAATAGATTAGTAAACTCTCTGTAAAGTAATTAGTAGTTGAATGATATGACCTTTATTGATCCAACAAGCAGCCTTCAACTTATTCTGCCTTACAAAATTGTCAGTGGTAAAATAAATAAATACTAATACAACAACCTAGGGGAAAAATATTACATTTATATTCAACGTTTTTAGTTACATTTCTTTTAAGCCTTGCATGCACAAATGGCATACACAGGAAAGTGCATTGTTCAAATTGGTATTATGCTCAAGAGCTTCAAACATCTCAGATATTCACATAATGTTCTCTCAAATGTAAATTAATTAAAGGATTAATGTCTGCCAGACATGACATGTGCTCATTATTCCTGCTGTTTGCAGGCTTCTGTAAATATTTAGTTATACATAGCGTTATGCTTCAACTAAGTTTAATGGTGCAAAATCTGGAATATTTAGCAGTGCATAAACTTAGTGCCTATTTACAACTAGGCTTACAGCTTGTGTAACAGCCTTACTAGAATATCATTGAGATGGATGGGTTCTTTTGGCTTAATCTAGTAAGTAAACTAAACATCAACTACCCAGCTCATGCTAGCAACTTAGCATACTAGCTAACAACCACTCTGAACATCTTAGAAATCAGAAAGTAACACTCTGGTAACCACTCTGCCCTGAAACTGCACAGTGGGGGGTACGTTTTACATTGATACTCACTTTTTCCCCCCAGAACATGTCAAAGTTTGTGTCTTATGTATATTTTACAAAACACTAAATGATTAAGTTTTATATGATTTAGTATTTATTATCATCTAAAGATATGACCAAACAACACAGACAATTTATCATAGTTTAGACTTTAAAATTACACGGAACAGTGTAACCTTTCTGCTCTTTATTTTGCGCTTGCATACGTTTTAATAAGTGAATAATTTAAATTCCTGTGACTTTCAAAGCAATTGAACTGTACATTGAATAATTCATGAAACAAATCCATGAATTATCCTAATAACAGCAAGCTGAAGTCTGTCATTCTATTCTAAAAACAGACCAGAATAATACACTTACAGAAGGATTTATAGTAATTATGTGGTAGAGTAAAGACTAAAATAACTTCTCAGGTCTGCATTGTCCATATTCCAATATTTCCCTAGAGACTCTGTAGTACAATCATTTGAACAGACTTTGTTACATGACTTCAGTCTGTTCATTGGCAGCCCTGTTGCTTTGACCTACATGATTGTGGAAGCAGAGGGGCTTCCACAAGAGAGCAGCAATAGGGGTAGTGTCCGCCAAGAAACGGGATATGGAGTGGGGGATGTATACGCCATCAGGGCAAACATAAGTCAAAAGCACACAAAAGCCAAATGAAAGTGGTGTGATGCTGACATTTAGAAACAATTCACATTACAGTATCCTTTTACCTTACACTTTAATATAGTTATACACAATAGCACTAAAAATTACAATTAAAACATTTTATTAACATTTTATTGTGAACTGTGACCTAAAATTCTAATTTACATTAAAATAACCTAATCAAGAAAGATGAATTCATATTTCATAGTTTATAGAGCGCCAGTAGAAAACTTAAACAATATGTACCATGTGCCATCACAAATCATGAACACTAGGCCAAATATTTCACTTCCACTTTTTGCAGGTTGACAGTGTAATATAATCCCCAAAGTATGGGCACTTAAAAATTCTACAAGTGCATGAATGTCAACGCATTAGATGACAAAATATGACAAGTGTCATCTGTAGACAAATTATAGCAAGGTTTTTTCCAGAACTACTTCACATTTCTGAGCCATTTTTGCAATTACCGGTTTTGCAGTGGTTTTAAGTGGATGTATGAAGTCCTCAAGGTAATAACCACAAGTTTATTTCATCACATTATATGAGCATGTTTCACTCCACTTAACGTTTTAATTCACAATAGGTTTGGTCTTAATGAACAGAATATATGCCGTTTTAAAATCAGAAAGCAAGCAAAATTCTCTTTATGAAATATTTAGCTTGAAATCTCTTTAAAATAAAAGTAACATTTTAAAAGCAAACAAGTGCCCAAAAATACTTTTTGGGCCACTGTATACAAACACCACTGCACATCATCTGACAAACAAACCAAAAATGCTAAAAATCCCAGCGTGGGACTATAATGAGGCACAAGCTCAACCCACTCACCTGTGTCTTGATTATATCCGCTAGCTGTTGTGCTCTCGAACATGGACAGAAGCCCAGCTGTTATCACAAAGCAGAGAGAGAAACTTGCTGGTCCCAAAACTTTAATGCTGCAGTCCAGCTGTACCATCATGTCAAACTGCACAGAGGAGAAGACAGCTCACTCCTGGTAAATCTACAGTCCATTTAAATGGTGATAGTTTGAATAGTAACTTCTGCCTCAGCCTTATGCATCGGTAGTTTGGACCCATCACACAAAAGAACGCTTCTGCATTTATTAAGCCAGAGATCTGCAGTGGTCATCAGTCCGAGACAAATGATGTAGCATGATAAAGTCTGTGAATCCGGTGCATGGGCGATTTTGGGCTCCGTTAATTCAACTGGGACGGCTGCAGTTACTGATGCCGCACACAGAAGAGCAGCGAACTTTGTTTCAGTAAAACTTTGTAAAAGTTCCGCCCTCTCAGTCTTCTAGTAGGAGGACCCTCTCTTTGTGTTCAGTGTGAGACTGAACCCACTCCAGTCTCTTGTTTAATGCGTTCCGTGTTTATACTCAAATGACTCCCATCTCATAATTTAACCGTTTGTAAATGAACACAAACACGGGACGCGTTCCTGAGTTTAATCTGCGCAATTTTAAATGTTGGTTTATGAACACAACAGTCAGTCGTCTTTGGCTGTTGCGTCGCGTCTCAAGAGCGTTTATTCCTTTGTCATTACAGCTATAAACTCGATTTACATTCTGTTCAGTTCTTTTTAGTTCCGGGTAGCTATTTTTGAATGCAAGAAGGCATGTTTTTGTATCCATGTTGATGCCATTAATAATAATGCCAATAATCATCATTTTTCTGTAATGCCATTCATTATTTGATATTTGTCATAAGCCTACACTCTAAAAAATGATGGGTTGTTTCAACCCAAGGTTGGGTCAAATATGAACTAACCCAACTGTTGGGTTAAATTTTGGTTACATTTTTAAATTAACTTTTTAACCCAACAGTTGGGTTAGTCCATATTCGACCCAACATTGGGTTGAAACAACCCAGCATTTTTTAGAGTGTATAGCCTATATCCTTTGACTATCATCGTTATCATCATTATCATTTGTTTATTTCCACTTGGGTATGGAAAATAAATATGTTCCACAGAAGGAAGTCATACATATTTGAAACAACATAAAGGTAAACGATGACAGAATTTTCATTTTTTTGGTGAATTATCCCTTTAACACCTACTAGGTAGCCTAATTGTCCACCTGTCCCACCATCTTCATTTTTTCCATAAATTGAAAGGCTGAAAACTGAAAATCCGACAATGCTAGCTCATTTTTAAGGGAGTAACAAACTGAGCTGCTGATATATCTGAGTGTCCATCAAGTGCCCCATCTGGTGGACACAACCGTAAGGAAACATATTTCATATCAATTTACGAAGTCATTCCCATCTAGCATTGTAAATTGCAGAAGCTTAAGATGATATATGATAAGATGATACACGATAAGGCTTTATTGACTCTAAGAGTAGTATGAGCTATCAAGAGGAACTAAAATTAACATAACATAAAATCCACGAACATAATATTGAATTATAGTTGCATTAAATGTTAAACCATTTGATATTGCATTTAAATAACTATGACTAATAAATGTAACAAAGCTACTGTAGATATATGGGCTACATACAACTCTTGAAATAACCTATATTGCTGTTACATTTCTTATCCGTTTGGTTTCCGTTTATATTTCGATTTTTGCTTATTAAATGGTTAAGTAAGAGGTCTGTTTTGGAATCTTGTGTTATTTGGTCATCTTCCCTCAAATGTGTATGGCATGACATGACGTCAAGAGTACGGCTGTAAGTCAGTCAGCGGTTTTATCCAGTGCGTGCGCTTCACAGGCGGGCGCTCCCCGCGCGCTTCTGCATAAAACGCTGGCTGTCAGGTGCACTGCGTGTCCAAAACACGTCGCTTACACCTGTGGGAACCCATTGCCATCTAAAACCGTTTATGTTCTGTGTGAAACAATGTCAGACTAACTGATATGCGATCAGTAGACAGCCTTGTCCACCAGGCACCTGTTGGAGAGTTTCAGAAACAATGGGTGACATTCTCAACCAAAGCGGATGGGGAACTTTGAACAGAAGTTTAACGGACCAGCACAAGTTCAGCAGTCTGGAAGACATCGATGTGACTGCTGACGGCAGCCTCGTCCTGCGGATTATCATCTCGGTGGTTTATTCCGCGGTGTGCGCCGTGGGTTTGGTCGGAAACCTTTTGGTGTTTTTCCTTATGAAGATAAGACAAGGTCGAAAGAAATCCATCATTAATTTCTTTGTCATCAATTTAGCTGTCACTGACTTTCAGTTTGTGTTGACCTTGCCTTTCTGGGCTGTAGATACGGCGTTGGATTTCAGCTGGCCGTTTGGTAACGCCATGTGCAAGATCATTTTATCAGTCACTGTGATGAACATGTACGCCAGCGTCTTTTTCCTCACCGCGATGAGCATTACGCGCTACTGGTCTGTCGCATCTGCTTTAAAGATCCCTTCTCGAAAAAAGTCCGTGACTGTGAAGTGGGTCTGTGCTGTATTGTGGATCTTGGCGACTGTGGCAACAGCTCCAACTTCCATTTTCTCCACCGTGACAGTTGTGGCAGGTGAAAAACTCTGTCTCCTCAAGTTCCCAGATGGCCAGGATTGGCTCGCTCTGTATCACCTTCAGAAAATTGTCATTGCGTTTATCTTGCCCATGTTCATCCTCTCAGTATGTTATCTATTACTGCTGAGGTTTATCCGAAAGAGGGGCATTAATACCCGTCAAAGAAGACGATCGAAAGTAGCAAAGTCTGTAACGGTGGTGGTCCTCTCTTTTTTTATTTGCTGGATGCCAAACCATGCGATCACCCTCTGGGGCGTGCTGGTGAAATTGAACGCGGTGCACTGGGACAAAACATACTACATGGTGCATACTTATGTTTTCCCCGTGACTGTTTGTCTTGCTCATACTAATAGTTGTTTAAACCCAGTTTTGTATTGTCTAATGCGACGGGAGTTTAGGAAAATGTTACATAGTTTCTTTTGGCGCATCGCCTCGCCTGTTATTTCGAAGGCTGGAAAACTACATGGATACAGTCGAGGCAGCAATCAAAACCTGGATGACGCACACACTGGAATTCATTTAAACGTGATTGACGCACAACGCTCCCAACAATCCAGACAAACGACCTTATACTGACAATATTCACAGGACTTCAGACAGATTCTGTCAACTAATTAAACAGTGGACTTATCCAAAGGGTTACTATGATTTGAGAACGATACTGAGAACGACGAATGACTGTAGTTGTTGTTTGTGACTTGAACAGTTTTAAAGGTGTTTTATTTATTGGTTGGCCCATATACTTACTGAATATAGGCTATACATGTCCAAGTTAGACCTAATGGCTAAAAAAAAAGAAACGAAAAAGAAGATATATTTAAATGATGCTTGCAAAACTGTATTTCTAGTGCTTGTCAAACGATTAATCGCGATTAATCGCATCCAAAATAAAAGTTTTTGTTTACATAATGTATGTGAGTGTACTGTGTATATGTACTATGTTTATATAAATACACACTCATGTGAGATGTGTCTTTAATCTAGATTTAAACAGAGAGAGTGTGTCTGAACCCCGAACATTATCAGGAAGGCTATTCCAGAGTTTGGGAGCCAAATGCGAAAAAGCTCTACCTCCTTTAGTGGACTTTGCTATCCTAGGTACTACCAAAAGTCCAGAGTTTTGCGACCTTAGGGAGCGTGATGGATTGTCCAAAATAAAAGTTTTTGTTTACATAATGTATGTGAGTGTACTGTGTATATGTATTATGTTTATATAAATACACACTCATGTGAGATGTGTCTTTAATCTAGATTTAAACCGAGAGAGTGTGTCTGATTCATAAAGGGATATTCCACCTAAAATTTTAATTGTTTCATCATTTACTCAGCCTAATATCATTTCGAACATGTGTGACTTTCTTTCTTCTGCAGAACACATATTTCACAATATTCGTCACTAACATCCATCTTCATCATGAGACAGAGAGTGGGGTAAGATGTGTCGCCACATAATCAAACTGCAAAAAACTGTGCATGTTTTTATGCTAAAAACTGTTTTTTGAGTGTCAAATATAAAATGGATACATAATGGATAAAAAAAATTTTCCCATGCAAAAGAATCATGCAAATCTCTGGGCTGAAGATAAATTATTAAATTAAGCTTATTTGATCAAATGACAGCTGTGAAATAAAGTGTGTGAGATGCTTCGGGCTAAGCTGTGTCGGTGGTTCAACTAATAGTGACAGAAAGCTTTTCATCAAAGTGCAGGAAATACTATAGCAGTATACATTAATTTCATTGATTATTTAATTTTATTATCATGAGGGAGCACTGGCGAAGAAAAGTCAAAAAATAATTTCAAAGGATTTTCCCTATATATATATATATTAACACAGTGCATAGTAGGATATTTTATGGACCTTTTAGTGTATCAAGAATATAACATTTTCTAACGGTACAAATGACAAAAAAAATTGCATTGAAATATTCTGAATATTAAAAATGTTCATGACTGGTTTAAGGAATTCTTTAAGAAACTGCAATATTATGCAGGCAGCAAAAAAATAAGACTCTGAAATGGCAAGTTAAGTTAAGTATATGGCTGCACTAGTTTATAGATTATGTATTTGTAATGGGCAGATGGTTTTATAACTTGTATTGCAATCAGAGCATTCATTTTACCAATTGATAGATTTCATGTGAAACAAACCCATGATCTTGATGTTACTGGTGCTACGCTCTACTGTTTGAGCTACAAGAACACTATAGAGTTATGGTCAGAAGGTGGTTGTATACTTCAGAGAGGTCATGTGCCAGCAAGCAATTCCCATATGTATGATAACAAAACTTGTTTCGCAAACATTTGCAGAGATATCCGTGTAAAACACTCTTCAAATGATTTTCTCTGTTGATAAGCACACATGCAAATTCAACCATAAGCAATATTCTGCTATTTGGTCACTAAGAGAATTCTTTGCTGCTAATGGAACATCTGCACAGCTATCAGTAGCATTGCCATTTGGTTTCCTGATACACCATCAGCTATGCATTAGCCATGGAACCCATTTATGGTTGGAAGTTGGATATACTGGGCAAAGGTGGATTGGCTGAGAAAAACATTTAGGAATATCTGCGTTATGTGAACAAATATGAATAAATGTGAAAACAGCAATGACATTACATGCCCAAAGTTTTGCAGGTTTGCAGGAGACTTTCAGAATCAACCATTTCTGAAGGTCACTGTATATGATGAAGGCAAAGTGTTTCACAGATATACATCACCAGTGTTTATAAACTTGCATAATTATTTGTTTCATACATAATTATTTGTTTCATACATGGCCTAGTTGC